AAGGCTAAGCTCTTAGTTTTCAAATCGATCTTCATCCCCATGCCTAAGTACGGTCATGAGTCATGGGTCATGACCCATGATTAAAAACCTTCGATCTCGATTATAGGTGGCTATAATGGGTTCCCTGAGACGAATAATGGCCTCACGCGTCTCTGCATGGTGCTCAGTACGGAAACTCTATAGCCTTTGTGTACAGCCGCTGCTTCTTCAATTGTGAAGCCACAGCTGTGATGGTTTGGTGACGTGTTGCGAATCTCGAGAGAGGAAGGTGAAGCATCTATTTTTGGCTCAGCTGACCAGCAGAAGGACCAGGGGACGGCCAAGATTAACCTGGTGTAAGATTACTGAAGGAGTCTTCCCCCGGCTCCGATTGTCCTCTGTCGTAGGTCAGAAGCAAGCACAGAAGCGGGAACGTTAGAGCCATTGTATCGTGTCTGGTTCAGCGATCCGGAAGGAGAAGCGGTCGTAGAAAATGAATGAGTCAGTGAATGGAGCAACCGCAAGGATATCGGATTGTCGGTGGCCTCAGACTTCTACGGTGGGTAGCATTTGCGATATTGATCTTTCGTGAAACGTATTGTACGGATGTATTCCTCACTTATGGTATCAAGTAAAACTGCCTTATTATGGTAACTAGACTTTTGGTATATGACAACACTAATAACATCGTTCTGTCACTTCAACAAGAACAGGGATCATAGTTTGTGCTGATGATCATGCTGGATAGTCACCGATCAGGTTGATCAAGGCATATTGTAGCCCCACCTAGCATTCGTATGAGACAGTGTAGCCGTACCTCTCGCCCATTCTGGTATGACCTCGATAACACACCATACTGTCCTATTGGTCGCAAATCAACGATTGATTGCTCGTTGCACCGAAATATCATGGAATGAACTCTTTACTGAAAGGAATTAATAGTTAATGAATCTTGTTTGGGATTCGCATTTGGCAACTCCGAGTATGAAAGTCTAACTCAGTCAAGCGTATTGGCTTAGGTAGCAACCGTTGCTGTCGTGGTCCCTTACTGCCGTTCTACTGTATCGCAGATCCTCGGCATAGTGGTGCTTTTACTCACTCAGAGTGATCGAACAGAAATAACCCCATCGACATTACAATATTTCTATAATGAATTCAGCTTTCTACTAAAATTGGAAATTTAGTACTACTGTGGTGAGAATCAGTGATAATTTCGCATTAATAATTATCCAGTTAAGCCAAAATGACGACAGCTATAA